AGCTGAATCCAGCCCCAGTTTCCCCTGCCCCCCATACTCTACTTCCCACCCCCAGCACCCTGCCCTGCCTCCTGCACCTCCCCCTGCCCTGAGCCCCTCATGCAACCCAACCCTGACTCCCGCACCCCCCATCTGCAAACTGCACCCCCAACAGCAGCAGGAGTCCCATTAAAGAAAGTCGGGGCTGTTAGTAATCATGTCAGTTATCACTGCTCTTAAGTCGTGTGTTTTCTGACGTGCAAATGGGCATTCTGCTACAGCTCCTTGTTGACCCCTTGTTCTGAATTTTGATGGAGTTTGGCTCTGGTTTGAAAAGGTTGCCGACCCCTGGACGAGAGGCTGTTGGTGCTGCCGCATTGATCCACGTTCTTCGCCCTCCCCCAACCTCCAAACCCCCCTTGTGAGCTGGAAGCCCCTAAGAATGGGATGTGCCCTCAGGCAGCCGAAGCTGGTACTACAAAGCCGTTCCCATGCCCCCGGCAGAAGGAGCAGAGCCTGGCAGGAAGGAAACGTGTAAGGGGATGAGGAAAGGGCCAGGGGCTGTAACAGCCCTGGGAGCTTGGGGGCTGGGCCCCCTCCCCAGGGCTCCCATGCCTCTCTGCTGTGCCAGACCCCCGGGAGAGAGGAAGGGCCCGCGGTAGCAGCGAATGGGCTGAGTTTTGCAGTCTCGGGGGGAGGGGAAGCATTTGGTTTGCCTCCCTAGACACGGAACTCACCAGCAGCAGGACTCGCTCGCCCCTCTGACCACTAGGCATCACTGCCCGCAGTAGAACGCGGCCGAGAAGGTTTGGAGAAGAGGGTGGGAAACAAGGGCCCCGAAACGTCATGTCGGCGCGGGGCCGAGGTGTCAGACCAACACTGCTCCCTCTCGCAGAGCGGCCTTGAGCGCGGGCACGGGGCTAGCCGCCTGGCTCCATGTACCTGGCGCAGGGGCGAAGGGTGCGAGCCCCCCCCCTGCTCCTAGGAGAGTCCCCTGCGCCCTGCCTCAGCAGGACTGTGGCTGTGCTTTGCAATGCTGCGATTTACTGAAAAGGGCAGTGGGGCCTAGTGGTTAGCAGGCTGGCTTGGGCTCTGGGGACCTGGGTTATAATCCTGTCTGTTCCACTGTCCTGCTGGCTTGGCTGTTACAGCAGTTGCAGGGCCGCCATGGCCAGGCAGCAGGGTTTGCCCCAGGAGCATGGCAGCTGGGGACAGACGATGGCCATCAGACGGGGGCTGGAGCCCGGCCACTGTGGGCCGAAGGGGGCCCACTCCCTACCCCAGCTTGGCGCACACGCCGTCCCCTACAGCGCGCCCTCAGCCGGCCCGGAAACGAGCAGAGTCCCCCAGCCAGCTCCTGCCGCAGTGCAGCCCGTCCGTACCGGGCGCACCACCTCCCCTCCACCTGTGGGTGAAATAGACAAAAAAGGCCCCCTCCACGAGTAACGGCGCCTTCTTCAAACAGGGAATCAATTGCTCATTTTCATTGAAAACGTTGCCTGTTTGGGGCGTGACCGAAGAGCCAGACTTGGTCCCGTACTGAGCCACGTTTGGCTCCAGAGTCGCAGGTTGCCGTCCGTACCGGGCGCACCACCTCCCCTCCACCTGTGGGTGAAATAGACAAAAAAGGCCCCCTCCACGAGTAACGGCGCCTTCTTCAAACAGGGAATCAATTGCTCATTTTCATTGAAAACGTTGCCTGTTTGGGGCGTGACCGAAGAGCCAGACTTGGTCCCGTACTGAGCCACGTTTGGCTCCAGAGTCGCAGGTTGCCGACCCCGGCTCTAGCCTCCGTCTGTCCGGGGCTGGGAATGGGTGACAGGGGTGGGATCGCTTGATGATTCCCTGTTCTGTTCACTCCCTCTGGGGTATTGGCCACTGTCGGCAGAGAGGGTACTGGGCTAGACAGACCTTTGGGCGGGCCGCTCTTGTTGGACTTTGTGCAAGAGTAGCTAGTGAAATTCTCTGGCCTGCAGGTCAGGCTAGATGAATGGTCCCATCTCAATTTAGAATTCAGGACTTTATGGTACAGGTCCCTTTATCGGGTCTGGACTGGCCACCCTTTAATCCTATCTGCCGCATGTCGCTGCCGGTGCACAGGCTTTTCTTCCAAAGGCAGCGCGCGCCAGCAATGCAGTCAGCATCCTCCCTGGTGTCAATGCACCGCGGAGCCCAGAAGAGAAGGCTCTCCTCATACCAGCAGATCCAGAGATGTGATTGTTCCCCTTTACTCGGCTCTGGTGAGGCCACGCCGGGAGAGTTGTGCCCAGTTCTGGGGCCCCCACTATAGAAAGGATGTGGACGGATTGGAGAGGGTCCAGTGGAGGACGACTAAAATGATTTGGGGGCTGGAGCACATGACCTGTGAGGGGAGACTGAGGGATTTGGGTTTGTTTAGTCTGCAGAAGCGAAGAGTGAGGGGGGATTTGAGAGCAGCCTTCAACTCCCTGAAGGGGGTTCCAAAGAGGCTGGAGAGAGGCTGTTCACAGTAGTGGCCGATGGCAGAACAAGGAGCAATGGTCTCAAGTTACAGTGGGGGAGGTCTAGGTTGGATATTAGGAAAAACTATTTCCCTAGGAGGGTGGGGAAGCCCTGGGCTGGGTTCCCTAGGGAGGGGGTGGAATCTCCATCCCTAGAGGTTTTTAGCCCCGGCTTGACAAAGCCCTGGCTGGGTTGATTTAGTTGGGGTTGGTCCTGCCTTGGGCAGGGGGCTGGACTTGACCTCCTGAGGTCTCTTTCGGCCCTGGGATTCTATACAACAGTCTGGTCCCAGCAACTCACCACCTGCCAGCTAGTAAATTTCAGTCACAATAAACATAGGCTAGATGTGCGGCCTATACAGGCTCCATCTCCCTTTGATAGGGCTCCCCTCCATTCCACCCGTCTTTCGTAATTCACAGCACCAAGCTGTGCCGCCTGAATATTTAATCGGCTACTTATTTGAGAGAGTCTGTCTGTCTGTCTAAGAACTCCTCCGGAACAGTCAGAGCTAAGCCCACCCAGTTTGGTAAACAGCTTCCTCTTGTCGTCACTTAAAGCAAGGTCGGGGTTTGGTTGGGCCAGGACAATGGGCCACGCCTGGAATGGGATTGCTTCTCATCAAACCCTACGGAAAAGAGACAGAGTCATCAGGGAGGTGAAAGGGGCTGGCTCCCCTCTGTCTGGAACTGCCCCAGCCCTGAACCTCCTACCCCCAAGATGCCCTTGGGGGGGGAGGCTGAAGTTTCCTCCCTTCCCCCCGCTGCTGCCC